CCATCTCTTGCTTTCTCAATGTTAGGCTGGGTTAAGACCGGAGCAGAAGAAATCATCTTTTTCAAGTTCTCGAAAGCTGTCTGATGTTCATTATCCCAATTCCAAGATGACTTTGGGGAGGTTAACGAGAATAAACAACTTGAAACCTTTGCGAATCCGAGACAAAATTTTCTGTAAAACGAGGCCATACCAAGAAAAGTCCTCAAATCTTTCACGCTCTTGGGTGTCGAATAGTTCTGTATTGCCTCCACTTTCCCTGGATCCATGTGGATGCCCTTGCTGTCGACTACGTGCCCAAGAAAACGCACACTACTTTGCATCAGGACGCACTTCTGGGCCTTGAGCCGCAGACCTGCTTCCTGAAGCACCCTGCACACACTCTTTAGCAAGTCTACGTGCCTCTCTCGCGTTTCCGTGCAGACAATGATATCGTCGATATAGCAAAACACCTCTGAGCCTAACAGGTCGTGCAACACCGAATCCATCAACCTTTGGAACACGGGGGGGCTGGTACTCAACCCAAAGGGAGTCACTGTGAATTGAAAGAGGCCTTCCGTTGTTGTGAAAGCCGACTTTTCTTTCGCTTCGTCCGTCAGAGGAATTTGCCAGTACCCACTGCACAGGTCGAGTGTCGAGAAGTACGACTTTCCTGATAAACTCTGGAGGACTGCGTCAATTCTCGGTAGGGGATACGAGTCCAATTTAATCCTCTTGTTCAACTCTCTATAGTCTACACATAGCCTTAAGCTACCATCTTTCTTTTCCACCAATACAATCGGAAAAGCCCACTCCGAACTGCTTTTCTCGATAATTTTCCTACTTTCCAGGTCAGCAAGTAGTTCTTTCAGTTTCTTTCGTACTCCCAAAGGAACTGGTCGCGCCTTCATTTTAATTGGCTTATGTTCTCCCGTGTCAATATCCATTTTCACTCTATCCGTCCTTGTCAGTTCCCTATCGCATACAGAAAAAGCCTCGGGAAATTCGTTCAAGACACCTTCAACTTCCTCACTTAGTCTGTCCACTCCCGTACTCTGTCTCACTTGCTCATGCAGCAATTTCTTCCTCTCTTCCGCCGTAAGATCATGTATTCCACTGTCCATCATTAGTGGTCTGAAGTCCTCTACTCCTTCTCGCCATTTCTCGGTTCCCCAATGACCGATTTCCTCCCCTTCTTTCAAAATCATGGGTTCTTCACTATCGTTAATCAGAGGTACCGTCAGCTCTTGGTTTGCCATTTTGAATACACCAGCGGCAATACCCTCTTTAGTTGGCCATAAGATGCGTTCACCCTCAATATCTCCCTCGTAACGTGCTGAGACCAGTGCCTTTCCATACGGGGGGTATGTACATTCGCCTAGCCACCACGACCTTCTCCGCATCTCTTTCGATCATAGGATCCTGAGGTGGCAACAGCACCTGGACCCCCAACTTCCCCAGAGCATTTGTGCCAAGGAGTATTTCAGCCTCCTTATCATCTACAATGTGGAAGGCTACCTCCACCTTATTGCCTGACTCCAGCTCTACCGCTATTTTGACCGCACCCAAAAAGGCCATGCGGTTACGCGACGCATCGAACACCGGAATGATTGAGTCATCAGAGATCACCTCCAAGCTATCCACATTATAACCTGCTTTTTGTGCCTTTGCCAGTATGCTCACTGGGATGATGCTTATCATTGAGCCCGTATCTAATATTGCTGGGACTCTCATGTTCAGTAACCTAGTCTCAACCGTCATTGATTTCCCTACTAGTGGCGTCTCCTCCTTGCCAAATGAACCACATTTCACTCCTAGACTCCTTGCACCACTAATAATCGATGATACCCGACGACGTTGCGTCGTCTCTTTCTTTGTAGCTGACTCCTGGGGTGACGTACTCCGTTTTGCGGTTTCATCCGCGATTTGATTGACTTGGGGTCTCTTTAGTGGACAATCCCTACCTATGTGTCCGACCTTTTGACAATTGTAACACCTCCTTTGCTCACCGTGTCCCCTGGTATATCTCCCTTGTTCTCTCACAGGCGCTCCATTCGTATCGCTCATTCTAACCTCCTCGTGAGTTGTGGAATATCTTGCCTCCCCTCGGCTAATCCCTTCTCTGAAACCACTTCTTGGCTTCACCTCGCTACTCACTACATCCCTGAGCCCTCCTGACTCGGGATCCCGTCTTCTTTCTTCCTGATGGTACGCCGCTGACCTTCTCTTCCATCCATCTTTGCGGGTATTTCCACTCGGGGCCAACATGCACCTTGACTGTTCAATGGTTAAGGCCAACTCCTTGACTGCATCATACGCCTCTGTAGGGTCTACCCGGTGGAGTGTGCTTAGTAGGTGGACATGTTCTGGCCAATCCGTCAAATTGTCCAGCAGTATCTGTGCGTACTCGAGAGACCTTTCCCTTATGCTACAAGCAGGATTCGCTTGCCTCCCCAATTTCTCGAGAACGACACAGAAGTCTGACACGGACTGCCCCCACCTTCGCTTAAGGCACCTCAGTTCGGTCAGTGCCCTCAATCGGCCCGCCGTTGAATCATTTGCCAGCAATTTTCTCAGTTCTCTCACTACTGCATCAAAACCCTGTTCTCTCACACTAGTTGGTAATGACAAAAACACCGACTTGGCCCTACCTTCCAGATGATCATCTACCATTATGTCTAGTAATGTCTTGTCATCGAATATCACTGTTCTATACTTCCTACTGAATCTTCGAATAAATTCTTCGAAATTCTCGTGACTACTTCCCTTGAATACCCCTGGGCTCACACAAGCATTAGCTTGAATTAATGCCATGATATTTACAAGGTTCTGACCTGATGTTCCTATTGCTTCTTCCGATCCCTCCGAACGCGGCCTCCAAACTTGCCCGTAAGGCGCTCCAATCTGCGATCTCCGATTTCTCGCTGCTCCCTGAATACCTTCAGTTCTCAATGATTCGTGATCCCTTCCGAACGTAGTTCTTGACTCACCATCTGTTTCCATTTTTTCTTCTTCCTGTGTGGGCTCTAGTCGATTTCGTTGCCCATTCCTCGGCAGCTCGGCTAGTACTCCTCGGATGTGAACAACGTCAGACTGAAACATTTCACATATTTCAGCTAAAAGCTCCCCGTCACGTTCTGTCACCTTTACGAATTCCTTCCAATCGTCCATACTTTCTATTCCCCTCTCATAGAAGCTCTTGGAATAGCTCACTACCAAAAAGCTTATACCTACTGGCCCTCTCTTTTATATCCTCCAACATCTTACATGCTTGCTCCGCTTGGATATCCCACACTCTCATCAACTGGGTGCGATACTACCCCCGCGATCGGCCTCCTTCGCCAGTCCTTCTCACGAATCTTGACGTCCCTGTCTTATACTCTAAACTTGCGTCAACCCTCTCACTTCATACTCTCAACCGCAAATTCTTGTTCCTCACCATAACCTGCATCAGATTGACTCCGTCCGACCCTTGTCAGCGGCTGGTACTGCATTTTCTGACACCATCTTTCTGAAAACGTCAGCTTGAATCTATCGATATGTCAGTCAGATAAATCAATCAATCGATACGAATATCACACAGCAATCAACGTAATCAATCGCGAGTCCACGAAACCAACGCGACCAATACTCTCACTCACTCTTTGGCACCCTGAGACGGCTTACTTTGCGTCCCCTTTAGTGCCTGTATTCTCTCTCTTTCACTCTCACTTATGATCACAGTCAGTGATCAGTACTATTGATCGTGGGTGCCTTTCCAACTTTTCGGCGTGCCCACCAATGCTCAACCAAGAGCAGCCTCTCTATCTGCTACTCTGTCTTCTCTGGTCTCACACTTCCTCAACCTAATCGATACTTTCGAACGGTTCGGCCCCCATGTACCGAATCGTCAATTCGCAATGAAAGTATCGACCGTTTCCAACGGTATGAGCCAGAGCGCACACGATTACAAATAACAATTTATTTTATAACGACGATACAATAATCGACGCGGTTGCAACGAAATAACGAACAACAGGAGGTATAAGCCTCCTAGCGAAGAAAACAATTAGAAAAAAAAGGTCCAGTATAGAGGGGAATGGAGGGGTCCGGGCGGAGACGTTCCCTTCTGCAATTTCTTGACGTCCTTAAATAGCATCCTGGTTCCCGCTCAGATCACTCCGGCGCTTGGTAGGTCGATGCAGCGATCTGGGTTCTACCCACATACTACAGGGAGACAGTTTAACCGGGGAAGTCAAGGAACGCGAAAGCGCACTGATCTCTGCATCAATCGCAGTGAGTGTGGAGCGTTGCGATAGTTGCAGATCCGTGACGAATAGCACGGATCTGCAACTATCGCACGGTAACTGCGCTTTTTCTGCATCGATGGATCCCTGCAGGTACAGACCTAACACAATCACTTGGGACGTGGTCCCCACTTCGTGTGGTCACTCTCGGGGTTTGCCTTTAAGCAGCATGAGAAGGCGCACGTCAGAAAGAGTCAGTGTGCAGTCTTTATGTGGAATTGCAGCGGTAGTTGTACCATGCAAATAGCCCTCGCAATTCGTGCGATCGCTCCTGCAAAAATCGCAGTCTGACATATGTCTAATGGTAAGAGAAACTGGGCGCAAGCTGAATTAGCATCAAGCGGGAATGAGACAGCATACCGGAGAGCAAGTTAGCAAAGCCTGTATGGTGGGCGCATGGGGTTGTTTGGCGGTGTCCATGTGTTGGAAGTTTCGGACCCTCCAGCGCTCTTCTCCAGCACTCCGAGTCACAAGTCTAGCCGGAGTCAGATGTCAATCGGCCGATCTCTTGAGATTAAAGACGGAGTGACCTCGCAATAATGCAATCCAGAATTATATCGCAAGGCATCATGTATAACTGTCGCCAAACATTCTCTCAAGGCAAGAAAAGTAGGACTTCGCGATAAAAAATTATCAGTGTAATAAAAAATCATAGTTCAACAAGTACTGAACTACTTGAAGAATATTTTTCATAACAGCGACTCGATCTGACACCGACAATGAGGGACGAAAGCTTGTCATGCCGGTATTGTGTGACCTACTGGAAAATGCAAAGCAAATTCAAACCCTCGAATGTGTATGTCTTCTGCTGTAAATGAATACCAGACAAAGGCTTACTATGTCTCTGTTGATTTTCTTCTTCGCTTGTGCTGTTAATTAGTCGAAATGAAATAAATTGTTCATTATTAAATTGTTGAGGTTGTTGCAAAAGTAATGCCGATTTGAACCACTCACTATGAAGTTTCACCTTGCTAGTTGCTTGAATCCCACTACTTTTTGACACTGATCAACCCTTTAATGAAAATGAATACGCTTTTTGTTCCATGCAGGCGTCCCTACAATAGACAAAAGCCTTTACTAAATAATTTATCGACATCAACATCAGGAGCAGTGAAT